GTCAGGCTCTGAGTCCTCTTTCCCGGTCTCCCCCAAGTATGTCTGGGTGACTCCTTCGGCCACGACTGCAGCTTGACCTGTGATGACTGCAGGAATGGAGGGACCTGCGTCCCAGGCCTGGATGGCTGCGACTGCCCCGAAGGCTGGACCGGGATCATCTGCAATGAGAGTGAGGCTACTGGACAGAGGCCAGGCAGCAGGGACCAGGGCCCGAGCAGGACCTTCTGAGCCCATTCAGTTTGATTCCTCCTACTAGCCCCGAGCAGGGGAACTTGTGTGTGTTCATTCATTCATTCATTCATTCAGTGTCTTCTGACTGTCCATTCTGTGCCAGGCACTGTTCAAGGCAATGAACACCCTGGGGACAAGCAAGCTGAGGTGTTTGTCCCTCATGACTGTCAGTCTCCAGATTCCAACAGCAAGCCTGACCACAAATAACTAAGTGAGGGGTGTTTGCTGAAGGGCAAGAGTGGGCGGGACTCCTTTAGTTCAGGTAGTTGGGGACTGTTGTGTCTCCCAATGGCAGCAAGGATTTCCCCAGTGCCGCACTTTAATAGCTAAAGTGCATTTGAGAACTGTTCTCTGCTCAGAGGTGGCATTGGAGGTCAAGGCTCTTCTCTAGGGCGTGATGATGCTGTGAGAATCTGCCTTCCTAAAAGGGCTGGTTTAGTGGATGTGTTGGCATTCAGAGGGTGGTTCTGCTGATTGATTTGTGATATCTGCCATGAGTGTGGACAGAGCAGTGGGCACTCCACTGTCTTTGTTGCCTCTATGTGGTTGCTCTGGACTGAGTGCCTCCAACCCCAGGAGGTGAGTCTCAGAGTCCTGTTGGCCAGTAACCTGTGCTTCTCTGTCATCTCTGTAGCTTGTCCTCCAGACACCTTTGGGAAGAACTGCAGCTTCCCTTGTAGCTGTCAGAATGGTGGGACTTGCGACCCTGCCACAGGCGCCTGCCGCTGCCCTCCAGGTGTCAGCGGAGCCCACTGTGAGGATGGTACGTGCAGCTACTCCCGATGCCTCTGGAATTGCCCCTGGAGTGTAAGAAAGATGGGAATACCACCCTAACTCTCCCGCCTGCCTTCCTCACAGCTCCCATGGGAGCAGGGAAGTAAGGGCAAGCTTTGTGTAGACTGTCTTCCCACCTTGCCTCCCAGTCTCCAGCGGGCTGGGCTATGCCTGAGGAGGAATGAGGCCCTTTAGTGAGGTGTGGATTTTTCAGTTGCTAACTTTCTTGGACCTAACTGTAGCAGATGGTACAAACTTGACAGAACAGTATTTTTTAAAAACTGGATTCCCTTGGGAGGTAGTGAGCCCCCCCCCCCGCAACTCCCCATTCTGTGCTTCCCTCCAGTGCGTGCCCAAGAACGTGCTCACCACCTGTCCTGGGCACAGTCAAGGCAGATGGCCCCAGCCAGAAGCTCATCTTGTGCCCCTTGGCCTCTCCACTCTCTGCGTGCAGGGTCCTCAGGCAGCTGAGGGCCTCGAAGCCTCTGGGCTGGGTCTTGGGGGCTGTGTCCTGGTGGGCGCTGCTTCTGGCTCCCTTGCTGAGCTGTAGGGCCCCTGAGCATTGCCTCGGGTTGGTAGCTGGCTGCCCCTGAGGCACTTACTGGGTCCTACTCCCCCCCAGGCTGCCCCAAGGGCTTCTATGGCAAGCAGTGTCGCAAGAAGTGTCACTGTGCCAACCGAGGTCGCTGCCACCGCCTCTACGGGGCCTGCCTCTGTGACCCAGGGCTGTATGGCCGCTTCTGCCACCTTGGTGAGTCCTGCTGCCTGTGTGGGTGTCTGCGGTGGCCACAGGGAGTGGGATGATCTGCGCCTTACTGCCGTGGTTCAGGGTGGAGTGTGGACACTGAGCAAGGTCACCAGCCGGCATGTGGGGGCTGGGGTCTGCCCCAAGTCTGTGGCCTACCACTGCATTGGCCTTCAGTGTCTGGATGGGCCATCCCCGGGCTTGTGACACCTTTCAGCCTGGACCCAGGGAGATGAGTGGGCTGCAGGTGGGAGGGAAGGGCTCCTCCTGAAGTCCTCCAGGGCACAAGCTTGTCTTGGCTTGGCGATGCCTGGCAGCAAGGCCAAGTCCCGAGCTCCTGTGGGGGTGAGGAGGGGACAGCCCTGGGTCTGCAGACACTTGGGGAGGGATGAAGATAATGGGCCATTGGAGAAAAGGCAGATGAAGATAGCTCTTTGCCTTATTTTGTAAAAGAATTATTTGGAGAGGAGAAAGCTGGGGTTTTCCTAGCTAGTAAGTGGTGTGGCCCAGGGCAAGTCCCCAAACCGCCTCGAGTCCCTGGTTCTCTTCTATAAATGGGCATCATTGTCCCAGCCTCTTGGATGCGAGATAAGGTGCTGTAATCTCCAGAACATTCTAGAAGGGGCTGTGACTACAGGTGTATTCTCCCTAACGCTATTGCCCTTACTAATCCAGGGCTGCAACTGGGCCAGACAGCACCAGCACAGTGCTGGCCTCGAGGACCCAGCTCAGTAAATGAGCCTGGAGTCTCTGGAACGGCAGATTCTGTGGAAACACAGCCCAGGGAGGGGTGGGTGCCATAGGTGGGCAGGCTCCCCCATGGTTCTCTGGGTGCAGCGTGCCCGCCCTGGGCCTTTGGGCCAGGCTGCTCGGAGGAGTGCCAGTGTGAGCAGAGCAATACACGGTCCTGTGACAAGAGGGATGGCAGCTGCTCCTGCAAGGCTGGCTTCCAGGGCGAGCGGTGCCAGGCAGGTAAGTGTGGGTGTGGGCGAGGGGACAGGAAGGGTCCCAGGGTGCTGAACCTACCCGCCCCTCTCTCACACCCCTGCAGAGTGCGAGCCCGGCTTCTTTGGGCTGGGGTGCCGGCAGGTATGCACCTGCCCCCCTGGTGTGGCCTGTGACCCCGTGAGTGGCCAGTGTCGGAAGCAGTGTCCTGCTGGCTTCCAGGGGCAGGACTGTGCCCAAGGTGAGTGGGCTCTGGCTGCCTGGCTGTGGGGTCTGGGTCATCTGGGCCATGTTGGGGGCGGGCCCCAGAAATGCTTCATAACTGGAGACCGAGTCGCCCCGCCACCAGACTCACTGGCACCTTTACCTGCCCACATCACCTCCTCATCATGCAGCAGCAGCACAGCCATTGGTCTGCATGTGAGAGGTAGCCAGGGTAGGAGCTGGTCTGTCTGCTCAGGGTCTGGGCCAGAGAAGGGCTTCGTGCCTCTCCCAAACCACTCTCTCCCTCACTCCATTCCACTGGAAAATAGTGAGCGAGCTTTGAGCTGCAAGTCGGGTGCAGGGGCTCCTGCCTTAAAGTGAGCAAGCAGGAGGGAGGTGCCTGCTATGAGTTCAGAGGTCTGGGCTGGAGGTGTGGTGGGAGCAGTGATGGGAGGACCCTGCACACGGATGCTGTGGCCCAGGCCTGTGAATGGGCACAGGGAACCCATGCCCCACATTTACCCAGCGGGCAGAGAAGCTGTGAAGAACCAACTGGGAGATGGACCAGTGGTGTCTTTCCTCCGGTGTCCCTGGTAACCTCCCAACCCTGTGGGCAGCCTAGAGTACATGAGACGACTGCAGCTTTGCCGAGAGGGCCGGGAAGGTGGGGACGGCCAGCCCTGAGGGGAGGCGGCCTCTGCTCCTCAGCCTGTGCTGTCAGGAGGCGCCATGACTAGAACAATGAAATGTGATCCTGGCAGGCGAATAACTTACAGCCTATGTGATGTGTGGGGCCGTGGGAGGGGCGTCTCTGAAACCTTTGCTCCTCAGTCCTGTGAGCAGGGTAGGAAATACCTAAGTCTCGCTGTCAGCTCATGAGAAGAGGAGCCAAGCCCTGAGCGGGAGTAACTGAGCTGCTGCAGGGAAGGCAGACTGCAGCCTCCCTTGGCATGACACACGCTGTTCAGAACCATTGGCCCAGGTAGATGGGGCCCATGGGGACTCTGCACTACCACCGGTGACACCATGGCCAGGGCCAGAGAGAGACCAGCACCTCTTCTCTGCCTCCCCTGGAGCTGTACCAGAGGGCCGGCTGGGCTCAAGTCCCCCAAGCCTGAGCCCTTCCCCTCAGCCAGAGCTGCCCAGCCAGCCTCTGTCCCCACTGGGGGCCAAGGACGGGCCCACTAGGGAGCAGTGTCTGCCCAGGGACACTCCAGCTAGCTGTCTTAGCCACCCAAGGGTCAGAGCAACCTGACCAGGGACCCGACTTGAGCCTCAGAGCCTTCATATGCACCCAGGCAGGTCCCCTCCACATGGGCGTCTATGGAGACCCCATGAGATGCCCGTAGAGGGCTGTCAGGTCCAGTTGGCACAGTAGGGATATATATAGGGCTTGGAGTCCAGCCTGGAACCACCCTCACTTGGCTTGGGTTCTCAGGTCAGCATTTCACAGCTCTGAGCACCTCTTTCCCATCTGCGCATGTGTCAGCAGAGCTTAGCGAATTACGCAGACACAGGGCTTAGCCTCCTGAATTGCTGTCCGGCCTCCACACACACAGCGTCTCTCTGCCCTGCCTCTACACAAACACACATGTTGTGTGCACATGCAAACACAGACATGCATGCTTGGGGCTCACCCTCCCCCAATGTATGTGCCCCTTCCTTCCAGGCCCCCCTTTGCATGCTGGAGCCCAGTGAGACCTCACCGGAGAAGCACCCCTACCTTGTCTCCAGTGACCAGAAAGAACCTTGTCCCCTACCTTGTGACCCAGTGACCATAAAGAAACTTCATTTCCACTCCTCCTTCTCATTTTCTTTCTTTCTTTTTTTCCCTATTACCTTTTTAGTTTAGAAGCCTCTAGTACCCTAAGGATGAGCTACAGGAAATGACTCACATATTTTTATAGAAACGTTGGGCTCTCTGCTTGCTGTTAGGTCTGGAAGCTATTACTTCCCCAAACGTGCCTGCCCCCAATCAGTGGATTGGGAGCTCCCGAGGCTCAGTGCTCCCTTGGCCTGGGAACTGCAGCTGGGGACTTGGCCCTGCTCCCTGACCCACACCACAGGGGCGCCGTCTGCTTCAGTGTTTAGTGCACACCTGTGCTCAGGGCCTGCAGTCTTGTTGACGAGCCTGTGTCATGGTGGGTGCATCTCCCAGTATGTCCTGCCACCAGAGCCCGCAGGGACTGGACTGCCTGTCCATCTGATGCTCTTACCCAGGCAGGGCACATTCCCAGCCTCAGGCCCACTGTGGGGGTTTTGACCAGTGGGCTCTGTTCTGTGATTCTTTGGGTGTAGAAAATTGGGTCCCCATAGCCCATCCTCTGGAGGTTGCTGTGGCACCTTCATGGGTTCCAGCAGCAGGTGAGCATCAGTGTGGCCACCCAGAGTATCTGCCCTAGCCTCATGCTCAGCTGTCCTGGGATGGGGAGGCAGAGGCTGGCCAGAAGGGTAGGTCAGGTATGGCGGGGGTGGGCGGTATTCAGGAAGTTTGCTCAGGACTTTCAGCATCCAGAGCTCCCCAGCCCTGCAGGCCCTGGCCAGGGGCGGGGTACCAGTCTCCATAGCAT